AGCCTGGGCGGCCTACCAAGGCATTTCCGAGAGAGAAGAGGAGGGTTTTTTCTTAGACATCTACACGATCAATGAGAAAAAAACAGTGACGACTTTACATTTCTATAGTGACAAAATTGATCCTTGATTCTGTAGATATCTTGATTATGTAGAATAAAATGTATGTAAAATATACATTCCCTTTGATATTATTATCATTGTGTATTTCAAACACTTCCTTTTGTTAGTTTTTTATAATCATAATAGTTCGGCTTTGTAAGAATGAAATTATAAAAGTGAAAATATAAACGGGAAGATAAGAACTCTTACAAGATTGTAGCCGACATACAACGGTCCATTGCTAAAGAAATGTAGCTTTCTGCTTGAGAAAATTCGGACAGATAAAGCAGAGAACTACAGATCTATGCGTTGTGGAAACCTTAGATTTAGGCCATCGATTTTTGTCGCTACCTTCAGCGTTAAGCTAAATGCATGTATTAATATCGCAAAAAAGAGCTTCCGTACATTTTCCTTGTGTAAAAGTAAGCCGACGATTGTAAAAGTTAACGCTCCTCGCAAAAGTCCTCTACCTATTTTTAAGTTACTGTAAGGCGCCGAGTAAGCTTCGGATCTATGCGCCCTTAGCTGCAGTGGGAACGGTGATACTGGATATTTGTTGTGTGCTTATCTCAAAATCGTAATAGGGATACAGCAATCTTGGGAAAAAACAAATTCAATTAAAAAGAATAAAAAGTCCCGTGCATCAAACACCTAGTATTCTCAATGGTTACAATATGTTTTATCTTGGACAGACACAATAAAACAAAGAGAATTTTTATTTATAGGTTATTTATTTGGCGCTTTTGGGCACGGCTGAATAAAATAACAACATATTATTTCGGGCCTCCAAAGCAACGGGTAGGCCCAGCAACAACAACAACATTTCAGTTCAACAACAACATTTCAGTTCAACAACAACAACATTTCATTTCAACAACAACATTTCAGTACATTATCAACATATCTGGTGACCTTGACCCTGGGAGTTGCAGAGGCCAAGGTCAACAAACATTTCAGTACATCAACATATCAGGTGACCTTGACCCCTGGAGATGCAGAGGTCAAGGTCAAATAATAAAAACTTGCAATGCAAGAATAATATTCACACATCCATGACTCTGGGAGGTGCAGAAGTCCAGGAAGAAAATAAAATAGTGTTGTTTACACTGTCACAATATTTACATGGTATTCAACTTTGACCCTGTGTGGTGCAGCGGTCCAATAATGAACCCATATTACATCATGGTTCAAGTGATGTATGCCGCTCAGTTCGCCACAAGACCCCAGTCGTATATTCTTGAACAAAGCATATACGAATGGGGGCGCCGCCACTTTACTAGTGGGGGTCCTGAGCGGCCTGAAACAGCCGTGACCCTTCCTCTCCAGATATATGTCATTACTGTGATGGATAAAACTTACATCCATGCCTAATAATTGGCTTTATATCCCCTGAATTTTTATAAATGTCCCCATCCCTTTCAGATAATCTTAGCTTGGCTTTTTTGATGTCAGGATAGTGGATTACAGAATCCCCAACTTCACAAACTTTGTTAAAGAAAAATGCATTAAACCCCTTACTAGTATTTTCCGCAGAAACAGCACTCGCTGTATATAGATCTAAAATTTAATTTGACGACCAATCACTTTCTTGGAAATAATCTTGACCATTAAATTGTTCTGTGCATATATATATCTTGCTTCATTTCATTGTTTAACATAGTATGATGGTGAGGCTTAGATACCCCCGGGTTGAATCGTACAATCTCCTAACAAACTTGTAAGAGAAATTGAGCTTCTGCGACAATGACCACAACTGCCGTAGAACTAATAATTAATGTTCCTACAGTATGGACGTCAATTTGATACATTTTTCAAGAGGTATTCTGATCAGCATTTTCATTGTTTCATTTTCTAAACCTACAAGACAGTGAGTGGGATAAACCGTTTTGTCATCAGTTAAGGGGAACCCACAGTTGAATACAAACCCCTTGCGATGTTTGCATTAATTTAAGAATGACTCGCTTTCTTTATCTGCAAATATGAAATCATCTATGTGAATAATGATCTAGAGGGAGATGCCTTGAAGACATTTATCAAAGTAATATATAGACCCTCAACTTTGAATCCTAAAAGGTCAAAATCCCCAGGGAACGTATGTAGAAACCTAAAGCTGATTTAATATCCACTTTCACAAAATATGCACCTTCACCAACCTCGGCCAACATTTTTTATTACTATTAAAGGATGTATAATAACTGTGAACTTACAATGGTTTATATAGTGATTTTCACTGCAGGATATGAAGGGTGAGAGTTATTCCTCTTTCGTACCACTCCCACTGGAGATACTCTGATATTACATATGGGAAACACCCCCCCCCCCCCCTTATTGCATCTTCTTTGTTATTATTATCTTATTATTATTATTATTCCTTCTTTGTATTGATAAGCTGAAATTAAATTGATATTTTTTATATGTAACGTTGGACTTGAGTTATAAAGTCTGAACCCCTGAGAAAAACCCATGACCTCAGCAATTTGTTGCTACAGTTTTGTTTGTATAACGATGAGTGTCGGATCATTATTAATATAGGAATTTTAATTGATATGTTCCCTATGGCCAAATTATTTTTAACCATTTTCCTTGTATTTTTGGATGTGGGATTGAGGTTTTTGGTCGGAGTTTGGTGGAGCTTGATGTCTTGTATATGGATTTCTATATTGTAAACTTATTGTGGTTGCATGGGCTTGGTTTGAAAGGAGTATGATGTCCGTCCGAAGGAGCTCCTAGTATTTTATTTACCTGGGCTCTTTAAAAATTGCGTTGTATGACTGTGTGCATGTCAACACCACTTGTATGAGTGCGCATGTACTGACACAGATTTGACTGCAGGACCCCTTAAAATTGAAATAAACGCACATTTGTTTGAGAGCGTTGAGTCTGGAGAAATTCCAGTCAATAACTAGGATTCATGTATAACAACAGTTTTAAATCAACTGAGGCCCAAGAAATAAGGGATCTGTAGATTTCCGAAGACGATACTGCGTGAAATATTCAAACTCCAAGCGAACTGTATGGACAAACTTAGGATATCTATTGCTTTATCTGGATGGGCAGATATGTAAACAAATGCAAAAATGAGAAATTTTTTTTTTTTTGAGACATTATCCTTTTTACAATCTCTCCTGTGCACTTAGGGTTAGTTTTTTAATCAGTACCCCCCCCCCTTTTGAGTGAAAGCAGAGACTGTAGTTCTACAAGCTTGAAACCTGTAGACACCAGTCTGAAAGTTGGTGTTATCATCAGTGATATAAAGTAATATTTTACTGTTTGTAACGAAATAGTTATATGCTTACCTGTATTGACTATTGTTCTGATTTAATCAGTTTTTTACTTAAGTTAAGTTAAATAAGCAGTCATCAGTTACAAAATAATGAAGCTGAAAAGAGTCAATTAGCCATAGCTTGCACGAAATAGGGTTATGAAATTATTATCGATTACTTGAAAAAAAATTTTCACTCGGGACAAAGATGGCGGCTAGCCTAGCACATGGTGATGCAAAAAGACAAATTGAAATGAATCTCAGACTCATCTTGATCTAAATTTAAACTTTTGTTATCGAATAGACAAGTAAACATACGAATTCATAAAAATAGTAATAACTATTTCTTAAATCTACACTTAGCCAATGTTTTCTCAAATTTGATTAACACCAACCTTGCAACTAGCGTGTAACCAGCAAAGAGAGAGTTTGCACCACGAGCACCTTTCTTTATATAATTGAAAGTTAGATAACTCGTGCTGAAACAAGGAGAGATAACTGCGCCAAAAATATTGCGCTGCCAAGATAAAAGCATCTTATTCGCATATGGGCGAGATAGATGTTATAATATTTATACACCGTTTAAATTGAACTTGTATCATCAGCTTCCTAGGATAAAGATTCGTAAACAATTCTTACCATTTTTGAAATAAATTTCTCTTAAACATAGGTAAAAAAAAATCGAATGTATTCACTGCAGACAGCTTGTCGCCTGCAAAGCAGAATAAATTATCTTTACAATTCACCATACCCTTCATATAGAGCATTAGAAAAATACTAAGCGGAAACGATGTATTATTTTTCAGTCTTTGTAGATAAGTTTTATCACCACCCCTCCCCTTTATAATTGACAAATTAGACCCAATTGACACAAACTTATTTTTCTCTTGACTTTTGTGTTTGACCTGCAAACGACAACATTCATCATAAGCTGCTTTGTTTCATAAAATTATCTTGAATTTTTATTATTAGCTCCTAAAACTTTAACAACAAAGTCCAAGTTGTAGTCAATCAAAGTTTTGGATATATATATAAACTATAGTCTACGCATCGCATAAAATAGAATGAATGGTCTTAATACACATATCGATCTTTAGTTGTGTCATTATTTAAGCATTGAATCATTCTTTTAAAAGATGTAGTCTCATAATTGCAAAGGTATTGCAACCATATTGATTACTGTTAGCGCGATAAGTTTTATTTGCAAAGACAAATGCAGATATAAGATAAAATCTTTCATAAAAGAATGAATCAGTGCTTATTTTTTTCTAACTCCTTGTCTTGTTTTGCAAATTTGATTTCTTTTTCTAACTTACTTGAATTATCTCTAACCTTAATAACAATCAATTTAAATGATTTCAAATTTTGATTTTCGCTTATGACATTGCTCTTGCATGGCATTTATTGAATGGCGGACACCACAGTAAAATGTATTGCAAATGTGTCGTTTTAAACAGGTTCCACTGTCATAGGTTTGACAATTAAGTAATCTAAATCTTTATATCTTCATTAATTAGTGTGAATAACAACGAAATATTTCGAATTTCAAATTTATTACAACACATATAAAGTACATCTTTTACTAGAAACATTCAGTAGAACAAAATTACAATAATTAATTGCTTTACATAATCCTTCATCCCCTGAAAACATATTTGTTTAGTCACTTAATGTCAAACAATCTTACAAAAAAGAACCCCGTGATAAATGTTAAATTTAAAACCGTCTCTTGAATGAAAATGGATTCGTCTCATTGATGGATGATCTTTCGTCTGTTAAAAAAAGAATGAAATTAATGTTTCAAAGAAATAAGAACATATTTAACTTTGTGAAACCTCTTATAACTATTTGAAATTTTCACAGTAATACAAACAGAAAAAACTCTATTATATTAGGATTTAATGAGTTTTACCTAGTGACGTCTGATCATCATTGAGGTCGCCTTCACTGATGCCCCACTCGTCACTGTAGGAGTCCATGGTTCGTACCAGTCTCCCGGGGACCATGGACCGTTAAGGAAGGCGTCGTGACAGTTGTTGAACCACCAGCCTCCTCCCCATCTAACAGCACAGCTACCACTCCACCTGTCATTATCTCTGTCCGGGGTGGAGAAGGACATCCCAGACAGATCGGCGGTAGAAGAACCCGTGTCCAACATACTGTCTCCTGTAAAATCAAACAAAAGGAATCACAGAGATAATGGAATTATATGTCTTCTATCTAATTGAAATTCATAATACTGAGGTACTTCTAAGATAGACGGCTTTAGGTGCTGGAAAAGGCGATAATATCTACTTAAGAATACAATACAACAATACATTATGTAATTCATTTAGATTCTTTTCTAATGTATCAATAAACTTTGTTATTTACACTTTAGTTTGACTAAAAAGGGAAATGATTTATTTTTATTAAGGTCACTGTGAAATGAATATGTGAAAAAAGGATCTGGTAGAAACTGTGTCTTTAAAATATATGAAATGTAATACGCAGGAATCATTACGAATTATGACGAGGTGAGAAGTGATGTACCTGTAACTGTTTACATTTTTTTTTTATTTTCATTTAACTCTTTACAATTTACTGAACTGTGATGCAACATACACTTACTGTTGACATTAAAAATAGAACGTTATCTTTTCACTAGAAGAAGTTAGCTCTCTATAGCTCGGTACAACGTTTTCTAAAACTTAGTGCTAATACTTACGACGTAATATGTTTAACAAAAATTGTGAATTGTACATACAAATGATATCGTGATATATTTAAACGTTGTATTAACATGGAACGTTAACAGAATATTAGAGAAAAAACAATTGTATTTTAACTTTATATACAACAACTTAATTTTTCAATTAAAAGATGCATGATATTTTTTTTTAGAATTTCAGTTGAATACACTTACCTAGGGTTCCCGTGGCAGGTCCTGCAAGAAATAGTTGATATTTTCCAGCTTCGTTGGAGACAGAGAATCGATCATACATTTCATACAGCGTTGTACCATTCTGGAGAGTGATGGACACATAAAGGGCTGAGTTGTTCTCTTTTGTTAACAGATGTATAAAGTCATTTCCTGTATTAACATATATTTTAAATCAAGTTTAAAGTCCATTGCAATATGAAATAATTTTATTTCAAATACAAATATTCATTTATGAAAGATCAAATTATTGTTAAGATGTAAATATTGATGTAAAATTTGGTGTCTTTTAAAGACCCTTCAGCTGAGTGATTCAATCCTTTTACTGTCTTTTTATTTTAAGTTTTCAATGAAGGATATGGAGATAACAAACAGTATTCAATATCAAAGTCCACAAACAATACAAAATAGGAGCAGAGCAAACACGGATCTCTAAATCATCAGAGGAGAGATCAGATGCCATGGAGGAGTGAGCATTCCCTGCTGACCGGTCACCACAATGTGCTCCTTGTTATGTTCAGGATATAACGGACACGATCATTGAGAATTGTCAAAAACGTATTACCAAGTTTAAAAATAATATCTTTGATACGCTTTTATTTATTTATCGGCAACAATGAAGAAATTCTGTCTATTTTGAATTGGATGAAAGTCCCAGTTTGAAAGTATATACACTTACCAACCCAGACATCTTGTTCTGGTGAACCGAAACCATTTTTATATGCTGACCAATCCCTGTCAAAACTGAGGGATCCGATTACTCGTTTTTGAATAGCCTTTAAAAATTAACAATTATAGCATTACAATTCACTGTTTCGAACAATCGTAGGAATAATGTATTATGATATAGACTAAAATATTCATATTTATTATTAAATTGTACAACTCTTTAAACAACAAGAAAACTGAATGTGAGTAATGTAATGTGCTTCTAAATCTGAAATGAACTACATACTGTCCATCCCCCGCACATTGTGACCATATCGCAGTACACACTGACAGGTCTTGTAATTGTTCCATGGGGATAAATATCATACACACCAGAAGTAGTCCTGCCATCTTCATAAAGCTCCTTACAATCTAAGGGAAGAGCTGAAAAAAAATTACTGGAATCGTATTCTGCTTAAATACAGGTATTAATAGGATACGTGTTATTAAACTAAATATTATATTAAGGTTAATTGTCGGAGATAATGTGCTTTGAAGTAGCTCCAATGTAGATAATGATAAGGTCTTTCTCGTTACCTGAAATTATTTTTGTTTTTCTAATTGTTTCAAATCTATGATTTGTTTAACATATAATTCAAGCAGCTTAGTAAAAATAATCCTAATACTTTGTCGGTAATTCAAACAATATTTGTATCTCTAACTGGCAGCAATATTAAATATTAATTCATTTCTAAGTAAATGAAGGATGGAGATAAAAATGAGACGGTATAAACAGATGTTTCGTGTGGTAGAAAGTGTTTGCACGAAAATCCATCACTGCTTAATGACCATTCTTAAAAGTGCCGAGTATAGGCATTTGCAGGCCCAAATCGGCAAGTGGTAGCGTTCTCAGTGTGTATAAAAACTTGTCAAGAGGGACCTTAAATAACAAACAACCAAAAAAGCAAACAGACAGAAAAAAATAACCGTTAAACATACGAAAAAAATAATAGATAACAATCATACATACAACGGGGAAGATAAATAATTGTACATAAAGGGAGAATTAAATAACAATTATACATGCGACATTGAAATAGTAACAGTTATACATACAACCGGGGATCAAATAACAATTAAACCTACAACATTGAAATAATAACAGTTATACATACAGCCGGGAAGTGAATGACTTTGATGAGAGTAGTATCTCCAGCCGTCCTCCTTAGTCATCTCAGAAGAGCAAACCTTTTTGTGTGTACGACATTTCTTCGTTTGCGAGTTGAATCCAAAGACGATGCACTCTCCTCGACACATTGTGGCGCACTCGGTCAAAGAATGAGAATCCTGTTCTCCTAAAATCTCGTAGTTTGATATTTTATCATTCAACTCCAGTTTCGCAGTATATTTCTGAGAAAAAATGGTAGCTTTGGACAAAGCGATGCAGGCGACAATTAAAGTGATGACACACAAATTGCTCATTTCTTGTGTTTCTGTTTTTCTTAACAAAAAAACAAAAAAAATTATTGCTGCGTTCTTGTGAATCTGTAAAATCTTGCCAAATGGTCCTATAACTGCCAAATATAAATATCAGAACCTTAATCAATGCCTGAAAAATGATTGGCTGTTACGTACTCTATATTCTACTGTCGTTTAACTATCGATTTTATTAAATTTAATATGAATTTTCATATATGCTTACTTTGGAATTGCAATTCAATTTCAATCCTGTTATGTCATGCTGTTTAAGAGTGTTTTTTTTGGGGGGGGGGGGGTGGGAGTAAGCTGTCTTTAAAATTTTGAAATTTTTAAAATATTTTCCTTCAGTACCTTTCTCTGAATGATATTAAAATTTAGCTTTTTTGATATGCAACTTAAAAAAACAATTATCTGATTCTTCGAAATAGTGAGGCTGAAATTTTTGGCTTGTAGGAAAATGTTTAAAATGCGCATAGAAACAGACAAGTTTGCAGAGTTATTTCTTTTTTGTTATACCTCTACTCCGATGGGTATACTGAATTATATTTTTTTCGTATAGAAATTACAAAATATTGACTTGAAGTGAGGTATCGATTTTATTGTTTAACAACATATATATTTTTTGAAAGCTTGCCTTGTTTCGAAACTGTTCGTACATGAACAAAGAAGGCAGCTCTTTGGCGCGGATCTAAACGTCTTTAGTACACCAGCCGGTTGTTATTTTCTCTTAAAGGATAATAAGAACGAAGAAAAAGCGTTATTGTATTGTCTATATAATTACTATATCAGGTAGCAATTACGTAAGGAAAAAAATATGCAAGTGCAATTTTAAAAACGATTACTTCAGAAAACCGGCAAAATTTGCCTTGTTGTCTGTGAGTGAACGGTCAACAGTGACAGGCCGATTGGGATGCATGAAAATATTATGAAGAAATATTTTCTGGTTTAAAATATCTACATAAAAACGTGTTCGTCATGAAACTTAAGCATATACTAACAACTTAATTTACAAGCTGAAATGACAACGGATTTTTCCGTTAATTTCCGATATTGACAACGACTAAATGGAGGAAGAAGAGAATTTATTATTACCTCTATATTCTTTAAGAAAAACCATGTGCAGGGCGGGACAAACAGCTAGACAGAAGCAGGGCTTGGAGCACGTGGATTGGCGGAATCAAAGCAATGTAAATATAAGTAATAACTGTCAGATTTTTCAATTTCATGAAGATGATAAATCGATTCGCTTGCGTGATAATTTTATGCATCAACGCCTTTCGCCAATCGATTGATCACTTCATGAAATCGAAAAATAAGACAGTTTTTCCTTAAATATTTTGTCACACAAAAAACATTAGTTATACTTTTTGATATTTTTTCTCCGAGTATTTACACAAAAGGAAGCCCGGAATCATGTAAAAGGCGTATACCTTGCCGGTGGAATGTGCATTACCTGTTTGCATTTTGTTCTAATGAAATAAAAAATGTTTTAATTAATGAAGAAACATGTTCTAATGAAATAAAAAATGTTTTAATTAATGAAGAAACATGTCAAATCATATGAATGAAACTTTCATTGATAAATGAATAATATTTTTTTAAAAACAAACCTTCCATCATTGCCGTCGCCAAATTTCACCTAACTTTCCATAATAGTGTTTGTATATTTTAAAAGATAATACAATACATCGTTAGTACAGCCTAAACTGTGTTTTTGTGTCTTATATATATTTTAATTAATATTAAAACTTTAGCACAGAATCTTTTTTTTAGGAAAATTAAACCCCATCCCCGCAATCAAGCATTTTAACGCATATACCGTAGCCCCGTAATAACGCATTTTAACAGATATACCTTTACCTAATCACGCACTTTAACACACATTTCGTTTTTGACGTTTTCTGCTCTGATAACGCGTAATGTTTTGATGGTATGATAATAAATGATAAGATAATATATTTTGTTAATCCATTCTATTATATTTCGCAAAAAATAAAATTTTCCTCAATTGAATATGTCCAAGTCGTTCGATTTATTTGACGAAACTTGGGATGACAGACAAATTAAGAAGATCTTTCTTTTGCCACTAAATAAGCTTACCACTTGATTCACTGCTTTGTTGATGTGGAGGCCCCTCAATCTTGTGTGAGATTGGACCCTTGATCCAAAGTCTATCTAATTCGACAAATGTTTTTTTTTATGTAAGTGTTTGATAAAAGCCTGTGGAGAAATCGAAAGAAGGGATGTATAAAATTACAAAAGAATTTTGAAGTTAATACATACTCATACAACTGATGAGAAAAGAGGTTTTATTCACAGAATACATTTTTTTTCAAAGTGTCCAAGTTTTTGGTAAAGTTTTTCAAAGTATCAAAGTTTCCGCCAAAGTTTTTTAAAGTGTCAAAGTTTTTGCCAAAGTTTTTAAAGTGTCAAAGTATTCGCCAAAGTCTTTATTATGCGCCGGGATCGAAAGATCCGAGGCGTATATTGCTTTTGTCCTGTCTGTCTGTCTGTCTGTTTATCTGTTTGTCTGTTTGTCTGCAAACTTTAACCTTCGCTATAACTTTTGTAACATAATAAAATATAAACCATACCTTGTGACCTTGGCTGTGTCCTATATGCTAAAAATAGATTTTTGGAACATTCACCATAACTTTTGAACAATGAAAGATGGAAACTTCATATTTGGTATGCATACTCAACTAATAAAATTCTTTCAAATGACACCAAGGTCAATGACCTTGTGACCATGACCTATATGCCTAAAATAGTTTTTTCTGCAAACTTTAACCTTTGCTATAACTTTTGAACCATAAAAGATAGAGACTTCATATTTGGTATGCATACTCCACTTATTAAGCTCTTTCAAATGACACCAAGATCAATGACCTTGTGACCTTGACTGTGTCCTATATGCTAAATATATATTTTTGGATCATTCACCATAACTTTTGAACAATGAAAGATAGAAACTTCATATTTAGTATGTTTACTCAACTAATAAAGTTCTTTCAAATGACACCAAGATCAATGACCTTGTGACATTGACTTTGACCTATATGCTAAAAATATATTTTTAACTTTGTTGCCGCCGGGCGCATAGTGTTTCACAAACACATCTTGTTTTAAAAGTGTCAAAGTTTTCGCCAAAGTTTTTAAAGTGTTAAAGTATTCGCCAAAGTTTTTCAAAGTGTCAAAGTTTTCGCCAAAGTTTTTCAAAGTGTCCAAGCTTTTGCCAAAGTTTTTCAATGTGTCAAAGTTTTCGATGAAGTTTTTCAAAGTGTCAAAGTTATCATTATAGTAAATCAATGTTTTCAAAGTGTCAAAGTTATAAATATAATTAACTTTAGTACATTGTAGTTAACTATAGTATTTTTATGTTAGGGAAAGTTAGCAACAGATTTTCTGAATCAATAAACCTTGTTTATTTGACTTATGAGCTAGAATACTGTTCATTATCTCAATACAAGGCATTGTAGCATTGTATAGTATACATACAACCTGGCCCTACTTCTACATTTGATCCACTTTGACTGTGGAACTGCTGATAATTATCGGAAAGTATTTTTTAAAATGATCATTATACTTCTTAAATGAATTTAATTAGACAACGAAAAAGCTTAGTTCAATTTTTTCCCCTTTTTAATTCAATTCTTAAGGTTGATTCCTTTTCACTGCTCTATTTATTGACGTTTTTCTCACCTCATATACGACTCACTTGATACGCTAATCATGGTCAAGAGTAAAATGATTTAATTTTGTCATCCAGTTGAATTTAAAACATGCCAGCTGGTAACTTGATATATACGAACAAATACTATTAGTGGAGTGACAAGACCATCAAAAATTTGACTTTAATGTACCACCCTACCCTACGGCTGATTTGTACTTTTTTGGTCAGATATATAATAAAGCAATAATTTTTGCCCGGTCGTAGAAAATTCTATGGTCAAAATTTAAAATAAAAGGAGATCAAAGATCAATGAATGAAATCTGACCATAATATTGTACATATAAAGAAAAGTTGAAGGACTTCGTGAAAATAATGTATATTTGTATAGGAATCTTATTTATTCGGTGAATATATTGATTTCATGGAAAAGGAACGAAAAGTTGAATAAGAAAGCCCGTTTGTCTGTCTGTAAAATGAAAGGTTTGTCTTATAGTATTTTATTTAAACTTAAAAGGTTTAATGCTAATGTACGTTATTCTTTACGTACAATCACTTAATATTTAGTACGCAAAGTAAAGAAAATTAAAAACAAGAACAACAACACCCATCACCCCTACCCCCCCCCCCCCCACCCACCCTCCCACCTAAGAAAACGGAATATGACCATTTATTTCGCATTTTTTTTAAATGTTATGTTTTAATTAAGCCTCTTACATCTGATTCATTATTTTATTATAAAGAAATTGTTCGACCCTGTTTTAAAAGCTTTTTATTAAAAAAATCTTCTAGAGGTCATCCTTGCTCTCATACTGAAGTATGGTATTCCGGTCTCATCCAAAGGACAGACAACATATTATTTAAAGTCTTATTATTATTCATTTCTCTGTCTAAATAGGCCAAAAAATTTTTTATCAATGAATGTTGTCTATGATTTGAAAATTTACGTTTAATTTGGCGAACTTTTGAATACGCGTTTACTCATAAATTGAGCAAGTTACATTGAAGAGAATTTGGGGTTTTGAAAGATTTTAAACACGTATTGGTGTTAAAATTGCAATTCTTGGAAAAGGGGTGAAGAGTTTAAATAATAACGTAATACTTTGCTATAGCTGTTATTTCTATTCATTGTTTTTCATGTACACGTACATGTATATCTTTAACTTTTCAAGAATATATTTTATTTGAAAACTAAAAAAGTAGAAGTAAAAAGTAATGATAGCCGATCCTTAAAAAGATACTTCAGGTGGGTAGATAATAATTAGAACAGTGCAAAATGGCAATATTCACATTAAATGCATGTCATGCGTGGCGTTTTTCATCTGCTGACAGAAAACTTAATATTTTTGAATTTTGAAAAACGGCTGACTGCCTAAATACTCAG